AGCTGTTATTTCAGACTAGTTCAAGTCTCATTCAGCTTACAGGAAAGACTTAACCTAGGCCCTTTCCTATGGAACCCATAGATATACCTGTCTTTTTAATTGAGCAAGTTAAAAAAGATTTGCAAGATTTAGAATCTCAACTTTCAAATTTGTAATGCTGAATTATACTCAGGAAAGGAATGTAAATCAAAATGAGTATTTTTCTCCTTGTATCATAAACAGTCCTTTTTTTGGCATTTCCTTTTATTAATCTCTCTGTCAACACAGGTGTTCTACAAAACATCTCTTTTTTTCAAATTAGTTGTTGGTTATGTTACATAATTTACAATATTGTTGGAATGTTAGAATGTTGGAATTTCACTCTTCACAGTTATTTTCTGTGGTAGGCTTCCAAACAGATTGCCTTTTGACTGGCAAAATATTTTAGGGGACATGAAGAGCTGATATTTTTTTAATGGGCGATGGTGCAGTGTAAATGACACCAATTCAGGGGAGACTAGACAAATATTACTGCTCACTGAGATATTTCATTAGTGCTAAGCATTCTAAGGTATAGAGAACAGGTTTTGTATGCAGTAGTCCCTTTATTTGGTTGGTCTTTACATCCTTTCTTAGGCAGTTAAGATTTAGGATTTTGGACCAGTTTTCCACATTAAAAACATATAAAACTTTTTTATCTCTAAGGGTGAACAGAATGGAAACCTGTCATTCAGGGGCAATCCCATTTCATATATGGCAGCAGAATGGTAATAAAAATGTGGTTAGGAAGAGAAGAGAGAATAATTTGGGATTCAGGATGGAGAATTACTTAAGAATGTGAACTAGGAAAGGAGGGTTGAAGGACATTGACAGAACAGAAGGAAACAGATTACAGGACCCAGAACATTGGAGGTCACAGATTATGGAAATAGCATTTATGAATCCTTGAACATGTTCTACTTATTTTTTAGCAAGAGGAATTCCATGAAGATCTCCCTATTATGAATGTATTGCTCTCTTAACAGAACAGTCACTTCTGCTCAACTGGAAAGGATGTAGCCTGATAGCTAAATATAGGTGATAAAAAGTGTTATTATGCAATAACATGTGGACACATGTCATCCTGGAGTGTTAAAATCTTGCATTTTAGAGTCACAGTGAAGAAAATCCTTCCAATTAAAATTTAAAATCTGTGTGTGTATATGCTCACAGATCACACATGGAAGCAAACAGTAAGTAAAACACAATTGTTGCAAAATTGCTAGTTAATAGTTTGGGGTGTTTTAGCTCCTCCAGAGATTTGGAATATTTAGTGAGTGCTGATAATAAAGTCACATATTTTGCATTTATACATAATATAATACAGATTTAATGTCTTTCTCCTCACTTTCCATTCTTTAAAGAGATGAGTGGATTAACAGAACATAAGGAAAGAGTAGAGTACAAGCATGAGATCTTCCCTCTACACACTGACACTTTTTGCAATACCTTTTGTTTGCATCAACCAGATGTTCATCAGAATGAATACTATGGTCTGGTGGCTCACTGGAGAAGGCAAATTCAGGCTGCACACCATAAAATTTCTGTTGATGTGCAATTTGCTCAAAGTCTGAAAAGATGAGGTGTCCCGTGGTAATGCCTTCTGTAGGCTCAGTCATAGTTTAAGCACAGTATCTGAAAGCCATAGAAAGAGTGCTGTGACCTGCACTGGCTCCAAGTACATGTGTTCTGAGGGTGTTTGCTTAGATTACCATTGGGAAGAACAGAGTAGAATTCTTCATGGCACCGATAGCAGAGTTACTAGCCACAGAAACCTTAGGGCTATAGCATGTTAGCAGCACCTTCATAGCTGAATGCTAGGCTTAGGTGCTTTCAGTCCACCTCTGGTATCTGTACTTACTAGCAACTGGCTTCATGCATTGCAGAGAAAAGTGTAAGTAACTTGGGTGTTCATGTGTAGCACTTAAAAATGCGGTTTTACCGGGGACATGTAACAATAATAACAGCAATATAACAATATATTAGTTGTTCATTAGTAGCATGATATTTCTTGACTATACTTTTCAGTGCCAGATAACCCTAAGAAAAAATCACTGGAGTTGATTCAGCAATAAATCTGTAATGCTAAAGGCTCCATTTTCAAAATTTGCTTCCAGTTCCTAGGATTTCACGTTTTCATGGGATATTACAACCTCATGACATACAAGAACAGAAGTTATTTCCAGTTATAATTTACATGATTATTAATATTTATCAAATATAAGACAGCAATGTCTAGGAATGAGTTGGAGATTAAACCAGAGATTAACTTTTAGGCATCTGGGCCTAACATTAAGCATTTTTAGCTGAGAAAATAGTACCAGAACTTCCAGTCAGCAAGTTCTTTTATACTTTATGATTTTATTGCTTACTGTTATTCTCAAAATGTTAAGGTATCTGCAGTGCATAAAGCTGAGTGTAGGACTGTAAAATGCTCGGATTTTGTTTTTTACTTTTTGTAAGGAGGTGAGGCTTGTTCTGCTTCTGAGACTGGGAAGGTATTTTCTGATCTTTCATCAGAGTAAACCAAATTCTTATTCATATGGCTTCAATCTTCTCATATTTTTTCACAACTCTCTTAAAAGCTTTCTCAGTGTTGCTAATAACAACACGTATTCTGAAAATCTCCCCAAATTCCCCAAATCATATTTTGCCTCCTGTTTTGGTCTGCTTTTGATTTGTCTTTGAGATGTTTCTTCTATACAAGTTACTTGTCAGTCTGTTAAATATTCATGTGTTAAACATTCACATTAAATGTTCGCATCTACAGTGGACTGTGATTCTCTCCTTCCTTCTTTCCTTCCTCTCCCTCCAGCAGCTGGAATACACTTTTCATGTCATTTATGTATAATGAGTGTGTCGTATTCTGGAGCTGCTGAAAAATCTGTAAGAATATGTACTCCCTTTTAGAAAACAGTGAGGGTCTGATCCAACATCGGTATTTAACCAAATGCCCAGCTTTTGAATCCTGAACACTTGTTAAGATGCTAGGAAGGCCCATGGCCCATTCCTATAATGAGGCAGATATTGGGCTGGGTTATCACTGAGTACCCTTTCTTTTGAACAAGAAGCAGCACTGTAGAAACGTTCTCAGAGGATTTTATCTTTTGTGATCACATCTTCATTAATTCCACATATAACTGATACACACCTAATGATTCATACATATGGGTTTTAGTCCTGTAATAATTTCAGTCTAGACTGAGCATTTAGGACTGTCATTTGTGCCACTGTGTCTGTGGATTTACATCTAGAATTATACTTTTCAGTTGTTTTTTCTTCTAAATTGATACACCAACAGCAACAGAAGTTCCAAATTAGGGTTAGGTTACCCATCACAAACTGGAAAATCTTCAAACTAGTTGTAATAAACCTAGTCTTATACAATGAGTATATTGTATATTTTTCTGTTGAAACGGAGGGGGAATCTGAGCCAGGTCTGTGCTTTAGACACTAACTTGACACCTGCTTCTGCAGAAACAGGTTGTTTCCTAGAAAGACTTATAATGCACAGTGCTTGGTGGTAGCATTGCAAGTCAGTATGTGTGCAGGTTTAGGACTCACTGTGTATCAGTTTTTACAGATATCTAGCTAATGTGAAATTTTTCAGACTTAGTCCTCTTACATGCAAAATTATTCAAACAGTTTTCAGATCACCATTCAAATCATAATTTCTTTGTTGTAACACCTAATAACACAATGTATGGAGACACTGTTTTCTGCATCAGCGTGTAACAATCATTTATTATATATGTTGGAAATGCCAACAAGTTCCTTTGAGGAATAAAAACCTGTAACTAATACTGGATTATTTATTTGCTAACAGTCCTGGGAATCAAACCTGGTTCAAAGGATGAGACCAGCTTAGGGTAATATGTTGTTCTTTTAGAAGCCTGTAGAAACAGAAAACATAAGTAGTCACAGACCTTTTGTCTAAGAATGCATTTGGCTTCGTGTAAAGGCAGGCTTTTGATTCCAGGGTATTTTCTTTTATGAAGACAAAATAGAGAATACAGTGGAAGTCTGTTATTATTAAGTGAAAAAACTTGGAATAAAGGGTGACTTCTGACCCTTTCTTAGCAACTGTATTTGCTCAAATAAATTCTTAAATTACATCTGCCTGTATTATAATTTTGAGAATATATTCACTGTTCCAGATACAGAGCCATTGTTAACACTCCTAACACTACTGAGCACATCCTACAGTAAGTAGCAGAAGTCTCAGAACTGAAGGGAAAATAAATGAAAATGTGCCTGCCTGTTAAAATACTGGATCTAATTAATATAGGCTCACAAACTCTTAATTGTCACTGCGTATCTAATGGTTCAGAAACAACCAGGGAGAGCTGGTGCTTTGTTCATTATACCAGACGGTATGCTATTCAGAGACTGTTCATAAGGACGGGCATTCATAATAATGCATCTTTTGTGCAATATTAAATAAACATAAATTTTAACCTCTGTTAAACCAGCAATAGTCATGACTCAACAAATCCTCATCTGAATGGTTTTATTTTTCTATTCTAATGTCACACTGAATACTAGTAACCAAGTCCAAACTTGGTCACGCATTTGGGCAGCGGGACTTTCAGTGAAACTGTGGGTGCTTAGTTCAAATAATGCCCTTTGTAGAGGCAAAATAAGACATTTCCTACCTTTGGAAATGCCTTGAACTATCAACATGCCATATGTTAAATTGTCAAGCTTTATGTAGTTGTAATTTACCAGACACTGCTATGCAGACATGATCTATTGGTATTTAGTGATGTTTGGGTGAAACAACCCTTTCAGCTGTTGTGGAGGGTATTCTTTTGAGAGAAGATGTTTTACTAATGTTAAATATGCTTAAACTTCTATTACGTTGTTCTTCAAGAATAATTAATTAGTCACTCTCCATGTAACCATCCTGCTGCCAAATCAAGGTTTGCCTTGGAAGCTGGGCCACGAGTGCCGGGGTTGGGCTGGCAGGCAGGGCCTGTTGGATGGCGCTGGGCAAGGCCAGCAGGTCCAAGCGAGCCCGGGGCTGCGGTAGCCTGAGGCCGGGAGGCAGAGGTGGCGCTGGGCCGGCGCTGCGAGCGCGGCAGAGCACGGCAGGGGCCGCGGGCCTGAGGAGGGTCGGACGCCTCCGTGGCCTCGGGCAGGAGCGCGAAGCGGCCTGGGCTGTGTCTGGCGAGGGCACGGCCGAGCTGCGGGCAGAGCAGGGCTCCCGAAGGGCATCGGCGCTGGCTGAGGCCTCCTCGCGGCGCTGCCCCGGAGCCTCTCCGGAGACGGCTGACGGCGGAGGTCCGGTGGCGGTGCTGAGCCCAGGCCTGGGGCAGAGCAAGCAGAGAGCTCATAGGGCTTGGCATTAACGCTTCTCCCACTCAGGCGTGCGCCAAAAGGGGGTGCCTGAGCCATGGACCTGAACTAGGGCAGAAAATGTTTTGCTCTGCTTCCAGTTTTTACAATCTCTCTAAGCAAAAGAGTGGTTTTATTTCAGATATGGAATGCAAGGAGAATGGTGACGACACCCACAGAAAACATGTTGCAACGGTTTGTAATAATGACATCCAAGGACTAGTAAAATAAACTGATTTAAATTTTACTAATTCTCCAGGCTATGCAGGGATATTTTCTGTATGGTTTTCTGACTTCTCTACTAATCAGCCATCATAGCTGAGTGCAGTTCCCATGCGAGATTCTCATAGACTGTAGGGCTAAGAGTTTCTGAAAGCTGGGCATTTAATTACTAGAGACAGTTTTTCTAGAGACTTTGTGCTACTTTGTAAGACCATACTCCATAGATTCGTGTCCCCTTTTCCTTCAGAATGAAGGACTGTGGGAATGGATGTTTGTATATTCTAGAGATGAGAGACGGTAGTTTGTCTTGAGTGAATAAGGATGTCTGGCTTGCAGTTCAAAAAATTTTTTGTAATTTCTTAATGTTATTTTTAAAAACAGAACTTTATGCTTCTTTTACAGAATACGCTTCATGTAATTTCTGTGGTTTTGAATTGGCCTACACTACAAAGTTCTTATTCAAATGCTTCTACTTCAGTAGAAGGAAAAACATCATTTGTAACGCCACTTCCAGCATTCTATTTTCATCTAAAAGAAATTTAAAATTTGCTACATAAGTTTTAAATGGAAAGTTCTAAATAGGTTGTAATATTTGTTTTCTAGTGGATGATAGTATAAAAATTAATAGGAGATAAAAGACAATTTAAAATTATTATTTGTTTTTAGTTCTTAATGGAAAATTGTGACAAATCTATGAATTGTCTACATTTTGGAGTATTTAATCATGTAGGATAGAGTCCATCTTACAGAAGATTATAGTAATTATCAAAGGTCAGAGTCCATGGCATGTAAATGTTTTGTGGGGTTTGAACCTTGTGCTAAAGGTTTAGTGGTATAAATTTTGTGAGTCCCAAAAATGAATTGTGAAAGGCTGTTAACAGTCTGCTTTCCCCTTAACAATAAATAATAACTTGTTCTAGAGCTAAAGGTTATCTTATTTATTTTACACCTTCCATTTGATTTCAATATCAGACTCATTTAATTTTGTAATAGTAGTGATGGGGGTTCTGTTGTTGAATGAAAAACCAGAAGATAAGATAGAGGACTGGCAATCACCAACCATATGAAGTTCAACAAGGGCAAGTGCCAGGTTCTGCACCTGTGATGGGCAACCCAGGATGTATGGACAGACTGCGAATGAGATGCTGGAAAGCAGTGCTGTGGAAAGCATCCTGGGATCCTGGTTGACAGAAGGTTGAAGCATGAGTCAGCAGTGCCCTGGAGCCAGGGGGACAACTGTGCCTGGGGCACATCAGGCTCAGCATCACCATCTGGGCAAGGGAAGGGATTGTACTACTCTGCTCTGCACTGGGTTGGCCTCGCCTTGAGTGTTGTATGTTTTGGTCACCACAATATGAGAAATATATTAAGCTCTTAGAGAGCATCCAGAGAAGGGCATCAGAGATGGTGAAGGGCCTTGAGGGGAAGTCATACGAGGGGCCACTGAGATCCTTTGGTCTGTTCAGCCTGGAGGAGACTGAAGGGGGATTTCATTGCAGTCTACAACTTCATTGTGAGGGGAAGAGGAGGGGCAGACACTGATCTTTCTGGTGCCCAGTGGCAATGGCCTGAAGCTGTGTTAGGGGAGGTTTAGGGCGGGTATTAGGAAAGGGTTCTTCCCAGAAGGTAGTTGGGTGCTGGAACAGGCTCCCCAGGGAAGTGGTCACAGCACCAAGCCTGACAGAGTTCAGAAACATCTGGACAATAGTCTTGGGCATGTGATATGACTCTTGGGGATGATGCTGTGCAGGGCTGGGCGTTGGACTTGATGATCAATGAGGGTGCTGTCCAACTCAGTACATTCTGTAATTGTGTAAAGATTATGTTCAAGTTCCTATGTTTACCTGCAGGAATACAGTTCCTCTTAAAAGTGGGGTCCTAATTGTAAAAGTGAGCTCACCAGTTTCTGAATATGCTCAGCAGGCACTTCCTGCTGAAGTGGAAGTGTCGTACATGTGTACTACATCAGGAACAGGGTAGTGCACAGTGCATAGAATCTCTGAGACATGAAGAACCATAAGGGGAGATAAAACAGAGGGAATTGTCTTTAAGATTTGGATGCCTGATTCATTGTCTTCAAGACACAAGCTGCATTTTTAAATGTATCTTAGTATTCTGAGAATTGTATAAGTAATACTGACTGAAAAAATTTGGAGTTATGGAACAACTTGAGACATGTGATAGCCCTGTTCATTTTATATTGGACATTGTACCAACATGTTACATTAGGATTTTGATGTCTAGCTTCGAAAAAAGAAGTCAGCTCATTAAACAAATACAGGCAACCATTGGCCATTCTTGGTTTAATATGCAGCTATTATAAAAGACCTGGTATACAGAGAAAGACAGTTCTTCAAAATTATGCATTGCGGTCATTCTCTGACTGCAGTTTCAACGTGGCTTTTGTGCGTTAGACACTAGTTTATTCATAAGATTGTGAGTCTGACTGTTCTCTTGCTTCCAAAGTAATTGAATGCATTTGTACAAATAAAATAGTGTCAGATAGATGATGTACACAGTCCAGAATAAACCAGCTCTTGTTTCATCCACCTGGCATTTTTATATATAAAAAAATGTGTATAGTTGCACTTTTTTTCCCAGTAGCAACAGTGCTGTGTCGTGTTGGGAACGTAGAATTAGAAAGAAATGATAAATATGACTCTTTAGCCAGAAAGGCTAAGAAAGAAATACAAATGAAAGCACGGTTTGAATAATTCAAAGAAACCGGGCTGGTATGCCAGAACACATTCTTTCCCCCAGTAAAACTAAGCTGAGACCCCTCTCCCCAGCCTTATAAGGAAAGGTCTGAAGGACCCTGAGATAACTAAAAATATGCAAAAATAGCGATTTCTATAGGTCGCACACAAATGTAACTGTATTAGTATACTTAGAAAGATTGGTTAGTAAAGGAATAGAATATTCAAATGTATAGATTATGTAAGTAATTGTAAAAGAGAGCTCTTGCTCTTGCAACTCTCTTACTACGCTCTCTTGGCTCTCTCTCTTAGCCCTCTTGGTCTCTCTTGGCTCTTTTGGCTCTCTTGGTTCTCTTAGTCTCTCTTAACTCTTGGCTCTCTCTTAGCCCTCTTGGCTCTCTTGCTACGCTCTCTCTTTTTTTCCCGGCTCTCTCACTTCTGTTCTGTTACTCTCTTTCTTAGCCATCTTAAGTCTTGAACTCATGTATTCATATTTTACCCCCTTTTGTATTGTTCTCTCCGAGCCTGCTTTGAGCTCTATCTGCTGGCTCATAGCAGGCTCTCTCTCTCTCTCTCCCCCACGCCCTGAAATAAACTTCTAACACCTAACTCGATTATAGAGGTCTTTGCCATGTCTCAGACCGTCCACCCCAGAAAGCGTCTCCTACAGTGTTGTGATTATTAATGGTAGATGCTGAGGATAACAACCTCTCTCTGAGATTATGATTATGCTATCTTAATGATTTATAGAAAAGGTCTTGGTATGGTATCTGCATGCAACATTTTACTGCATAAGAATAACTAGAAAAGGTTGCAATGATATTTAATGGTATGAAGTATTTGGGGTTAGAGACTCTGCTAGGAGAAAAAATTCTTTAGGTGACAACCGTCATTCTAGATCAGCTGGTGTAAAGCAGCCTAGAAACAGAAAATTCTGGCATTTTCTCATCCTGGGTAGGATACATCTGATTATTTCAAAACATGTCTTTTTCTGGGTAAAGCATCATCAAAGCTGTATTTTAGGTGCTGTTTTTTTTTTAAAGTGTGAGTATGTTCCAAGACCCAGAGCCCTTTCTGGCTGGATTAATACATCAAAATGTTGGGGGAAAGGAAATATTTAACAAAACAGTCACATCAATCATAGCTAACAAACAGAACTTGCTTTGTTCTAGAGTTCACCCAGTCTCCTGGGCCCAACCTCACTTTGCAGAAGATGTCTTGTGGAATAGTTGCGTTTGCAGAGAAGTACCCTTCCCACACATCATGCCATTTCATAAATATCTTTGCTGCGTAGCTGTGTCTTTGCTTGGATATTCCATGAAACTTGTTGCTGCTGCATTAGTCCCAGAACAGAAATAAGGAATGGAAGCTGGGGAAAAAGAAAAAAAGAACAGACAATTTCAGCTCCAAAGAAGAATCTGGGGGAACAGCTAATAAGCACATTGAAATGGAAACCGTAATGATGCTCTCTGTGTGACCCAAACTGCTGGGAATATTTTGTTTGTTGTTCAGAGAACTGTAAAACTTCCACTAGCTATTGCTGTTTTTGATTGCATGGTGGAATAGCAGTTCAGTGGTAATTTGGTTGTAATACATTAACTGTATACATTTTCAGTCCCTTTTCTGAGGGTAATTGACAGCTGGTATATTTCAATACCTGCCTAAAAACCTGTGCTGTCACTAATATTAGGAGAATGTGGACCTTTGACATTTGATGATATCATGCTGGTGATAGTTTGTCTAATGTTACATGAGCATGGACAGCATGTTAAATGTATAGTCACTATCAGGAAAAAATAATGGCACAATCTTTAGACTGATAGTCATCTGGGAGTATGATGTGTTGTCGTTCACTTTGTCTTGTGGCTATGACGTGGAGTACATCATACTTTTTCAGCTACATGACTAATTAGGAGACTGCAATGATAATAATTTCATTATTAGAGTTTGATTTAGTGCTTGTTTTTTTAACCACAGTAGAAAAATGGTCAGCCTTCTCCACTGAACTGTCCCTGACATCAGGATTCC